TACTGTGTCCGCAGTCTCTGGTCATCTCCTGTAATATGCCCACAGTCTCTGGTCATCTCCTGTACGTTCGCAGTCTCTGGTCATCTCCTATAGTATGTCTGCAGTCTCTGGTCATCTGTAGTATGTCCGCAGTCTCTGGTCATCTCCTGTAGAATGTCCACAGTCTCTGGTCATCTCCTGTACTATGTCCGCAGTCTATGGTCATCTCCTGTAGTATGTCCGCAGTCTTTGGTCATCTCCTGTAGTATGTCCACAGTCTCTGGTCATCTGTAGTTTGTCCGCAGTCTCTGGTCATCTTCTGTACTATGTCTGCAGTCTCTGGTCATCTCCTGTACTATGTCCGCAGTCTCTGGTCATCTCCTGTAGTATGTCCGCAGTCTCTGGTCATCTCCTGTAGTATGTCCACAGTCTCTGGTCATCTGTATTATGTCCGCAGTTTCTGGTCATCTCCTGTACTATGTCTGCAGTCTCTGGTCATTTCCTGTACTATGTCCGCATTCTCTGGTCATCTCCTGTAGTATGTCCACAGTCTCTGGCCATCTGTAGTATGTCAGCAGTCTCTGGTCATCTCCTGTACTATGCCCCCAGCATCTGGTCCTCTCCTGTACTATGTCTGCAGTCTCTGGTCATCTCCTGTACTATGTCCACAGTCTCTGGACATCTCCTGTACTATGTCCACAGTCCACTGGTTCAGAATATTTTTTTCTTGTTTTCCTCCTCTAAAATCTAGGTGCGTCTCATGGTCAGGTGCATCTTATGGAACAAAAATACGGTATATAAATATAAAATATTCTGTTATAGTCCTAATATAAAGGTCACTTTTGATGTATGCTCCCATTGTTTGGTATTCTTTTAAAATTTTTAATAAAATAGATTTTATGAATGATACGGTGATACAGACTCTCCACATCACCTCGCCCTGACCCGTATCCCTTCACCTCCCCTGACCCGAACAGCACTGCTCTCACCCCAGCATGCCACCTGCACTTCTCCTCCTCGTTTTCCTCTCCTCCATCCCAAAAATCGCCTTCCTCTACCCGCCCAAACCCCCCCAAAACAGCTCTACATTGCCCCTTCACTTCTGCCCTCTCCCCACTACGGCACTCACCACCTCCTGCTGGTACTCCACTCCCCGGTCGACCCACGTGCCACCACTACCGGACCCACACGCTCCTGCACCTCCCATTCCCATGCCACCCTCCTCACCCTTCTCCTTCTCCTATCCGCTGGGACATCTCCCCGAACCCTGGCCCCTCACCACCTCACCCCCCCTCCAGGAACCCCCCCTCCAGGGACCCCCCCCTGCTCCCGCCAGCCGCCGCAACCCCCTCAACCTCATACCTGTGCACCTCCTCCCCGCATCCATCCCCCCTCTCTCGGTTGCACTTCTGAACGCCCGTTCGGTCTGCAACAAACTAACTGCCATCCATGACCTCTTTATCTCCCGCTCCCTCAACCTCCTAGCCATCACCGAAACCTGGGTACAGGCCACTGACTCTACCTCCCCTGCGGCACTCTCCCATGGAGGTCTCATCTGGTCCCATTCACCAAGACTGAGCGGTCACAAAGGTGGTGGTGTCGGCCTGCTCCTATCACCGTTGAGCACCTTCCAGGTCCTCCCTAACCCCCCCCCTAACCATCTCCTCCTTCGAGGCTCACTGCATCCGGCTCTTCTCTCACCCACCCCCCTAAGGATCGCAGTGATCTACAGGCCCCCCAGATCCATAGCCCGCTTCCTGGATGACTTCGCCGCCTGGCTTCCCTTCTTCCTCTCCTCTGAGCTACCGACCATCATCCTCGGGGACTTCAACATCCCCATCAACGACAACACCCCAGCTACCTCCCAACTCCTCCACCTAACCTCCTCCTTCGCGCTCACACAATACACTCAATCCTCCACCCACATCAATGGGAACACCCTGGACCTCATCTTCTCCCACCTCTGTACCCTTAACCACTTCACTAAACCACCCCCTTCCCTCTCTCCGACCACCACCTCCTCCTCACGTTCTCCATTTCCCCTTCCCCTAACTCCCCCCCCCAGTGCACCAAACCATCACCAGCCGCAACCTCCGCAACCTGCACCCGGCCCCCCTCCACTCGGCTGCCGACCGCTTACATGACAGCATCCTTCCACTGTCATGTCCTGACCTAGCCACCACCGCATACAACGACTCACTATCAACTACCCTAGACTCTCTGACACCCATAACCACACGCAATATCAAACCCAGACCGCTCCAACCATGGCAGAACGACCATACTAAGTGCCTCAAACGTCGCAGTCGTGCGCTGGAGAGACTATGGCGCAAAACCAGGTCCCCTCATGCATTCTCCCTCTACAAATCTGCCTTCCTCACCTACACCTCCTCCCTCCACGACGCCAAGCAGGCCTACTTCGTTAACCTCATTAACACCCTCTCCACCTGCCCTCGCCGACTCTTCTCCACCTTCAACTCCCTGCTCTCTCCCACCCCTCCTCCACTCAGTACCTCACTTACCGCCCACGAGATTGCCACTCATCTCCACAACAAGATTGACGCAATCCGCAAGGACATAGTCAACTTGCAATGTACCTCCCCATCTAGCCTCCCCCCTTCCATCACCCCCTCATCCTCTCCCCTCCTCTGACCTTGCAACGGCACTGCCCCCCACCACACACCAAGGCCCTGCCTACCGTAACCCCCCCATCACTGCACTCCTTCAGCCCTACTACCACTGAGGAAGTCACCAGAGTCTTCTCAGAAGCCCGCCTCACTACCTGCCCCCTGGACCCTATCCCCTCTCAACTCCTCCGGTCACCCCCCTCTTCCCTCATCCGCTCCCTTACCCACATCTTCAATCTCTCCCTCTCTACTGGCGTCTTCCCCTCCCCCTAAAACATGCGCCACATCACCCCCATACTCAAAAAAGCCCTCCCTGGACCCCACTGACCTCAACAACCTCAGACCAATTTCCCTGCTGCCACTCACTTCCAAGCTCCTTGTGCGCTTGGTCTACGATCGCCTAAGCCCCCACCTAACTGACAGCAACCTCCTTGACCCACTACAGTCCGGCTTCCGTCCCCTACACTCCACCGAAACTGCCCTCCTCAAAATCACCAACGATCTACTAACCGCCAAAGCCAAAGGCGACTACTCTGTCCTCCTTCTCCTAGACCTCTCCGCGGCCTTTGACACAGTCGACCACCCCCTCCTCGTCCTATCTATCCCAACGCTCCTTCAGCGTTTCCTACAATGGTGCCACCTCCCCTTCCCTCCCCCTCTCTGTTGGGGTCCCCCCAGGGCTCTGTCCTTGGACCCCTTCTCTTCTCCATCTACACCTCCTCCCTTGGCAAACTCATACACTCCCACGGCTTCAATTACCACCTCTACGCTGATGATACTCAAATCTACCTATCCACCCCTCACCTCACCCCCACATTCTCCGCCCGCATCACTCACCTCCTAAACGACATCTCTGACTGGATGTCGCTCCATTTCCTCAAGCTCAACCTCTCCAAAACCAAGCTTCTCGTCTTTCCCCCTTCCCGTGCCCCCCCCCCCATCCTTTCCATCACTACCAACAACACCACCATCAATCCCGCCCCGCAAGCCAAGGTCCTTGGCGTCATTCTGGACTCAAACCTTTCCTTTCAACCTCATGTCAAATCACTTACAAACACATGCAGGCTCCACCTCCGGAACATTGCCAAGATACGCTCCTTCCTTACCCCAGACACCACTAAACTACTCGTACACTCCCTGATTATCTCACGCCTTGACTACTGCAACTCCCTCCTCACCAGGCCTACCCCAGTGCAAACTCTCCCCGCTTCAGACCATCTCATCTGAACTCAGCGGCCAGACTCATCCACCTCACCAGCCGCTCCACCTCTGCCACCCCCCTCTGCCTCTCCCTCCACTGGCTCCCCATTGCCCAACGCATTAAATTCAAACTGCTCACTCTGACCTATAAGGCCATTCACAACACTGCCCCTAACTACCTCACCGACCTGATTCCCAGGTACCACCCTACACGTACCCTTCGCTCTTCACAGGACCTCCTTCTATCTTGCTCCCTGGTCTCCTCCTCCCACGCACGACTGCAAGACTTCTCCAAGTCCTCCCCCATCCTCTGGAACTCACTACCCCAACCCATCAGACTGTCACCTTCCCTCCTCACCTTCAGGCGCTCCCTGAAAAACCCACCTCTTCAAGGAAGCCTACCCCACCCTCACCTAACAGCCGCTGCCCTTCCCTCCTCCTACCACTCCATCCTCCACAGCCATTTCCTCCTGTACCTCTACCCCCTCCCTCCTAGATTGTAAGCTCGAAAGAGTAGGGGCCCTCTTACCCCTTGTGTGCTGTATGTTGTTACTGTACTGTTTCATGTATTGTCCCCCCCTCTATTGTACAGCACTGAGCAAACCCTTTGGCGCTATATAAACTCGATAAAATAAATAAATAAATAAATAAATAAATAAAACGTATGTATTATATTTTTTATAGAATGGTTGTGATGGTCCATTACATAGTCCCATGCTTTTCTTTATTGGTCGTTAAATAGGGAGGTAGATTGCCATGCTGGGAAGGGACTAGTCATGAAGCTAGCTATAATAATCAGCGGGTGTGACGTGGAAAAGATCTATATCAGTGCTGTACCACACTTAACTTCCCTAGCGGTATGATTATGTCAGTATTTCTGTGCTCAAAGTGGTACATTGTTTTCAATAGAAATATGTTATTTTTTTATTGTAGGCCTGTAATTCTTAGGAATAACTCACTGAAATCTGTCCGAAAAAGAGTCTAGTAAACATCCCGAGTATGATAACATTTGAAACACAAAATCATAAATTATAATATAATAAATCATCATCATAAAAATAATAATATAATAATAATAATACATTTTATTCAATAATGTAATCAAACAAAAAACACTGAAATTTTAAATAGAGTGCCAACTTTGCACGCCACTTTCAGTGTCTGATGATGAATTTCCCCACAAATCATTATCACTCAATTCTGCAAGTGGTTCTAATTTACTATCGCTGTTCTCTAGCTGGTCTAAAACCGCTTTTGACCTAAAGGGACGCTTTTTGGATGCCATGGACGTCTCTCACTTTCCAGGCAGAAAGAACAGTAAAAATGCAGGCAGGGCACAGGACAAAGCAGTAGGTACAAAATGTATGTGAAATGGTTTGATACAGTAATGTAATACTATCAGATTTTAGTGTATTATGTATATGTAAAATTTTGACATTTTTGAATCTCCCGCCGGTTCCGTCCCCCGTACGTCCAGGCGCTTGCAATGAACGGAACCCGGAAGACGGATGCCGGCATTGGCCAGAGGATATGGCCGGGGACGCAGCAGGAGGACAGTGCGGGACCATGGGTCAAGGTAAGGGATCACAGAGCAAAGCTGCAGGGTAATCCCGAGTGTAGCTTGGGGTTACCGCTTCTGGTACTGAAACTTAACCCCGAGCTACACTCAGGAATACCACCAGGGGGGTTAAGTAGAAACAGATCAAATGTTCATAGAACTAGCTGTATCAGTTCTGCATGTTCATAGAACTGCAGGTAACAGATTAGCTGATCTGGGATAGATAAACAATTTGATGGCCCTTTACAGGGCTGCTAGACAAGTTAGTGTTATCCTAATGACATGAAACATTTCTCCAGCCACCTACCGATTGCCTTTTACTGTATTAACTTTGGATTTATTTTATTGACGCTTAAGGTTTTTCTTCAAGAGGTGTGAAAAAGTTGTGAAAAAAGCACTTTGAAAAATGTAAGCAGACAGTTCCTGGTAGGATTCTTTTTTGGAGTGTATTTTACTTTTATTTGTTCTATCTTAACACATACCAGTGAAATACAATCAAAATACAGGAAAGTTTTAATGTGTTTTCCTACTGTCTAAAAACCTTAAATAACAATATGCACCAACATTATTTTTCTTCATTTTAATTTTTGCAAAAAGAATAGGCAAAACAAAATGTGTACTGTTGATTTTAAATACGTTTGGTGGAAAAAAATCTGAATTGCAATTTCCCCTTAAAATTTTCAAGTTAATCAACTTGTGCTGTCAAATAAACATCACCATAAAAAATGCAAAGACAATAAAATAAATCTACAGTCATGTGAGAGAAAAGTCCAATAGGTATGTCTCTAGTGAAAAACCAGAAATGTGTCCAGTGGAAAGCTGCATGTACAAATTAATACTCCAAATGTGCCAACTCCAGTGCACCACCACTGAGAGACAAAAACTTCTTAACAGATATACATGACCCCTAACAACGGAGATCATGCATGCTTACATACTGTATACTGAAAGTATCCCTAGGATGATGATAGCCAGCTTGGTACAGATCACAACCTAGACTGTGATCAGCTCAACAGTGAAATGAGGGCAGCAGGAGACATGAGGAGAGAAACAAAGTAGATTGTATAGCCCTTTGCTTTTTTAGAATATAGAAAAAATGCAGTGTCTTGATAACAACTTGGAAATTAAAGATTTTTTCTTTTTGGTGTGTTTTAGTGTTATGTGTTAACCACTTGAGCTCCAGAAGTTTTTACCCCCTTCATGACCAGAGCATTATTTCTGTTCAGTACTGTGCTACTTTAACTGGCAAAAACAAAGTCATGCAATGCTGTACCCAAATAAAATGTATATAATTTTTTTCGCACAAGAGATTTCTTTTGGTAGTATTTGATCAGCACTGTGTTTTTATTTTTTATTATAAAAAAAAACAAAAAAAAAGATCGGGGAAAAAAAAAACAATATTTATTACTTTCTGTCATAAAAGATGTGAAATAAAAATTTGTTAAAAATCTAATTTTTCACAAATTTAGGTCAAAATGTATTTTGCTACATGCCGTTGGTAAAAAAAAAAAACAATCCCAATAAGTGTAAATTAATTGGTTTGTGCGAAATTTCTGTGTCTATAAATGATGGCATATAAAGTATATATACTATAATTTACACAGCTATGATGATATACTGGTAATGGCAGTGATCAGCGACTTATAGTAGGACTGTGATAGTGAGGCTAGCAATCTGGTGCTAACTGCTACTAAGGGACTGACACTGATATCAATGGTGATACTAATAGAGTGATCAGTGCTAATACTGTACACTGTCACTGTACTAGTGATACTGAATGAGGAGTGACATCCAGGGGAAATCAAGGGGTTAATTGTGTGCCTAACAATGTGTAATGTGTGCTGCTTTTACTTTATTTTATGTTTGTTTTTTATACCTGCTTTTCATGCAGAATAAACAGCCAGATCATTGTTCTCTGTACACAGAGTTTAGTGTTTTGTAAATGCAAAACTGTGTGTGATTAGACACAGCTGATTTCAGCAAAAATCGTTGGCTGAAATCAGCTCCCAAACTTGCGCTGTGTCCAAAAACAATGCTGGTCAGGTGGGGGTAAGCACATGAGTGCCCCAAACCTGGAAATTCATCAGCGACATACCAGTGCATCACCTGGCCTACCCTTGCCGCTCACTTGCAGTGATACGTGGTTAATAAGTAAAAGTAAATGCAGACATAAAAGGAGCCCAAAAAATGTATTATGTATTGTATCTTTAAATGTTCAATGTTATTTTTACCTCTAAAACACCTCAGGTAACAACAGAACACTCAGTTTTAGGGCTTTTAATGCCATTTGGATGACAACCCACTAAAAGACCATAATGCAATTTGAAAAAATAAATCAATAGAATATGAACTTTGGAAATTCAGGCCAGTGGAAGTATCATCTTATCCTCCTCTTAAATAGAGATCATGACAAAATGCTTATACTTTTCTATTACTATTGCACACTGCTCAAAAAAATTAAAGGAACACTTTGAAAACACATCAGATCTCAAAGGGGAAAAATATCATGCTGGAAATCTATACTGATATGGACTGGGTAAAGTATTAGGAACGTAAGGATGCCCCATCGTTTGATGAAAATGAAATGATCAACCTACAGAGGACTGAATTCAAAGACACCCTGAAAATTAAAGTGAAAAAATTATGCAGCAGGCTAGTCCATTTTTCTGAAATTGAATTGCAGCAACTGAAAATGGTACTCAGTAGTTTGTATGGCCCCCACGTGCTTGTATGCATGTCTAACAACATCAAGGCATGCTCCTAATGAGACAACAGATGGTGTCAAGGGGTATTTCCTCCCAGATCTGGACCAGGGCATCACTGAGCTCCTGGACAGTATGAAGTGCAACCTGGCAGTGTCAGATGGAAAGAAACATGATATCCCAGAGGTGTTTTATTTGATTTAGGTCAGGCGAGCGTGGAGGCCATTCAATGGTATCAATTTGTTTATCCTCCAGGAACTGCCTACATACTCTTGCCACATGAGGCTGGAATTGTCATGCAGCAGGAGGAAACCAGGACTCATTGCACCAGTGTAGGGTCTGACAATGGGTCCAAGGATTTCATCCCGATACCTAATGGCAGTCAGGGTGCCATTGTCTAGCTTGTAGAGATCTGTGCATTTCCTCCATGGATATGCCTCCCCATACCATCACTGACCCACCACCAAAACGGTCATGCTGAATGATGTTACAGGCAGCATAATGTTCACTACGACCCTTTCATGTCTGTCACATGTGCTCAGGGTGAACCTGCTATCATCTGTGAAAATCACAGGGTACCAGTGGCGGACCTACCAATTCTGGTGTTCAATGGCAAATGCCAGTTGAGCTCTATGGTGCCGGGTAGTGAGCACAAGGCCCATTAGAGGACGTTGGGCCCTCAGGCCACTCTCATGAAGTTTATTTCTGATTGTTTAGTCAGAGACATCCACCCCAGTGGTCTGCAGGAGGTCATTTTGTAGGGCTTTGGCAGTGCTCATCCTATTCCTCCTTGCACAAAGGAGCAGATATCGGTCCTGCTGATGAGTTAAGGACCTTTTACAGCCCTGTCCAGCTTTCCTAGAGTAACTGCATGTCTCTTGGAATGTCCTCCATGCTCTTGAGATTTCTGGGAGACACAGCAAACCTTCTGGCAAAGGCCTGTAATAATGTGCCATTCTGGAGGAGTTGGACTGCCTGTGCAACCTCTGTAGGGTCTAGGTATCGCCTAATGCTACCAATTCTGATACTGACCCTAGCCAAATACAAAACAGTCAGAAAAGATGAGTAGGGAAAAAAATGTCAGTGGCCTCCACCTATAAAACTATTCCTGTTTTGGGGGGCAACTCATTGTTGCCCATCTAGTGCACCTGTTTTTAATTTCATTAACACCAAAGCAGCTGACACTGATTAACAACCCCCTCTGCTGCTTAACCCCCAGGTGGTATTCCCGAATGTAGCTCAGGGTAAAGTTTCAGTACCAAAAGCGATAACCCCGAGCTACACTTGGGCTTACCACACGGCGCTGCTCTGGGATCTGTTCTTCACTTACCTTGTCCTGCGCTCCCGCGATGTCCCTCCTGGCAATGTCCCCAGCAATGTACTCCGGCGGATGCCGGCATCTGTCATCTGGGTTCCGTCCCCTGCAAGCGTCGGGACATATGAGGACGGAACGGCGGGAAATTTGAAAATGACAAAAAGTGACATTCACTAAATACACTAAAATAACATAGTAAAACATTACTGTATCAAACCATTTCACATACATTTTGTACCTACTGCTTTGTCCTGTGCCCTGCCTGCATTTTTACCGTTCTTTCTGCCTGGAAACTGAGAAATGTCCATGACGTCCAAAAAGCGTCCCTTTAGGTCAAAAGCAGTTTTAGACCAGCTAGAGAGCAGTGATAGTAAATTAGAACCATTTGCAGAATTGAGTGATAATGATTCCTTGGGAAATTCGTCATCAGACACTGAAAATGATTTTGCAACTTTGCTCAGTGATGTGCGAACTTGGCGCTATATGTCAAATTTCAGTGTTTTGGGGTTTGATATTATTATTGAATTAAATTTATTATATTATTATTTTTTATGATTATATATTATATTATAATTTATGATTTCGTGTTTCAAATTGTAACATACCCGGGATGTTTACTAGACTCTTGTTCGGACAGATTTCAGTGAGTTATTGCTAAAAATTACAGGCCTACAATAAAAAAAAACATATTTCCATGCAAAAAAAATGTACCGCTTTGAGCACAGAAATATGGACATAATCAGACCGCTAGGGAGGTTGATTGACCAGATCAATATCCCATGATTTTAATTGACTTGATGCTATTCTCTGATTAAAAAGTGCTCCTTTAATTTTATTACTTTTTACATTAATTTTATTACATTATTAACATAATGGGAAATCCCCACTATGTAAACAAATGGGTGGGGATTTGAAGGGTTACATCATTGCCTAAATACAGCCATATGACCATAGTACCAATACTAATGTAAACACTATGGT